TTTATAATCATTTCTTTGAACTCTATATCTGATAAATTGCTTGTCTCCATTCATTTAGCTCTTTCTATGGAGATTTCTTCTATTCTTTCATTTGGGGCCTGTTTCTTTGTCTTCTCATTTTGGCTGCCTCTTTGTGTGTGTTTCTATGTATTAGATAGATCTGATTTGACTTCCAGTCTTCTTGGGATGCCCTAATGTAGTAGGTGTCCTGTTGGGTTCAGTGGTGCAGTCTCTTTCATCACCTGAACTGGGTGCTCTGGGAATGTCCCTTGTGTAGGTTATGTAGGTACTCCCATTGTAATTTCATATTGATTGCTATTGGCCCATTTGTGTGTGGGATTGACTTTCAGGCTAGTTGACTCTGAAGCTCAACCTTGGCCATGGCGTGCAAGCTGCTGTGCAGGTGCTGACTCCACATAGCTTAATTCACCTCAGCAGGATTTAGTGCCCTTTGGATATGCTACTTGTGAAACTTATTGGAACCTTCTCTGTTTTTGTTTGAAGCTGACCACTAGGTGTGTTGGTTCTGGGCCTCTTGGGAGGCACTCGGTTGCAGGCCACTGTCAGATGCTGCCTGTGATTGGCCTCAGGAAACCTGTTTGGAGCTAACAGCAAACCACAGTTTGTGACTGCCTCTTCTGTGGCTGGGTACACAGGGGAAGGACCATGATGTGCACCAAGGCTGGCTTTTACCAGCACCAGGCTTGAGGGCAGGTCAGCAAAAGTCCCAAGGCACCCAGAGTTCAGCCTCTTCCTGCCTCCACCTGCAGTCCACCTGTTAGGCTCAGTCACTGAAAGAGCCTCTGGCTATACTCCTCAGCAGGGTGTAACATCCACAGGGTGGGGTGGGAGGAAGTTCAGAGTGTGGGGCTATTGCCTTCCCCTAGGCCAGTGGTTGGCAAACTGTGGCTTATGAGCCACATGCAGCTCTTTGGCCCCTTTAGTGTGGCTCTCGTGCGGGCGCGCACGTACAGTGCAATTGAAACTTCGTGGCCCATGCGCAGAAGTCGGTTTTCAGAAAGGAGATAGACAAAACATGTATACAAGACGAGTGTGGATGGGAGAGTTGGAAGGGGTCGACCTCAGCGAATGTGCCTCAATCAGATTGAGGACGTTTTTAGCAAAGGCCAGCTTAGGAGTACCCTAATTAAGTTAATAACAATGTACCTACCTATATAGTTTAAGTTTAAAAAATTTGGTTCTCAAAAGAAATTTCAATTGTTGTACTGTTGATATTTGGCTCTGTTGACTAATGAGTTCACTAACCACTGCCCTAGGCTGATGCCATACAGAGCAGAATGTTTTGCTTACAAAAGATGGCATCTATGGTATGGGAGAATGACTCAGCACAGGGATTTTGGTGGCTGTCCCTTCAGGTCCCTCCCAAAGCCACAAACCCCAGACTCTCTTCATGCAACTCTAGTTATCTCCGCCCTCCATTCACCAGCGCCCAGGGTGAGTGGCTACAAATAAAATTTTGTGCATTGGCCCTTTAAGAGAATTCCTGTGCCTCTAGCCATTTCTCCCTGGTGAACAGCAACCCTGTTACTTTTCATAGCCTGATGTTGGTGACTCTGTTGCTCTGGGCAGAGGAACTGGTAAAATGAATGAATAAATTGTAAGAATTGTATGTTAGTCAATATTAAAAACAAATTATGCCAGGGAATTTGATAGCTAATGTAGGAAGCAACAGAAAGAGCATTTCTGAGACAGAACAATTATTTTTTCCGTGAATAAAGTTTTTAGATATTATTAGACTATTTTATTTTATCTTCTCTCATGTTAGTTATTTCAATCTGGTATCTTAAAAAAATTCTGATTTTTTTTCTTTCAAAATTTGTACTGCTTAAAGCAAGAAGTCTGCTAAACTACAAGTGGTAAGAAAGTTAGCTTGAGGGAGGGCAGGGTAACCTCTTTCCTCTTAGGGCCTGTCCTATAGGGAGATAATGGGTGTGATTTCAGTAGTGTCAGGAGATCTGCCATGCTTCCAAATATCTTTCTTTCTAACTGTCATGGAGCCTGACAGTCCATATTTAGGCAGTGACTTCTTTGGTGCATGAACATGCAAATGCTATTGAGAGGGGCAACGCCTTGCTATTATTATAACCTAATTCTTATACTCTGTATAAAGGATCAGATTTCTTTGGGACAGCTGAAATCCAGAAATAAGATAGCATTGTTTCCCTTAGGAAAAGAAGGGGATGGGGATAGTTACAGCCAATAGGATTTCATAAGTCATCAATTTTGCCCTAGTGATTAATCATCTTGTTCTTGGTTATTTTCTAGCTGACATTGATGACATGAAAATATGCTATGTTTTAAGAGAAGGGGCTAATGCCACAAGTGATCTATTCCAATTTACAGTTGAAGATGGTGGTAAGTATTTCACTCTCCTTTTAGTATAAACAAGGAGAGTGATTTTCATTGGTAGCTCTTTGATATTACAAGGAATCTGTATCAAGTATTATTTTATGCTCACCTGATTTTATACTAAATAAATTTTATATTTGCTATATTCTCGATCTGATACAGTGCTACTCTGCAATAATTTTAGATAAATGTTCTAATTATGTTATTTTGTTTATGATTTATAAAGCACTAAAAAGAAATATCTGCATGAATAGGATTTCTATTTTTAGTTGTTCAGATTATGCTCTGTATGAGGCTGCCTGCTTGAGGTGACAAGAGGATATTGGAATTTAGCCCAGCTCCACTTGCAAGCCATTTGCTTATCTGAGTGTTCCTAACAGGGTATGTCTACTCATGTACAAATTAGAACAAGTTATATTTTTCTAATTTGCACAAGGGTACTGTGTGGATTAGTGCTGGTGGAAAATATGTTGCTTTCACCAAAGAATCAGTGCTAAATAAATGTGTTTAAATCTCACCAATCTCAGTATGTCTGATAACTTTCTTATTTGGGGGATTTTGTAACTTAGTCTAGATAAAATTTTCCTTGGTAACTTCTGAAGGACACTGTAGAGAATAGGATATGACTGTAATCTAAGTCTCCTTTGCAATATTATTGTCATTTCTCCTTCAAAGCTTTGACTGCTGCTCAGACTCTTTTCAGTTCTCTTCCTAACCCTGTTGACAAGGAGAGAAAAAGGCTGCTTCCAGGTTGATTTAAAAGGATGTTTCTGTTCTCACATGCTCTTAAGAGAAGCAATAGAACAACAGGAAGAATGTGTATTGTATGAACAGGACACAAGAAGTGAGGTAATATGTGTAAGAGAGAAAAGAGAGGGAGAAAAGAAATACCGTATTTGCCGGCGTATAAGACGATTTTTTGGCCCTGAAAAATATGCCTCCAAGTGGGGGGTCGTCTTATACGCCAGGTACACTTCAGATAGACTGCCCATAGTGCTTGCCCCGTGCCATAGTGGCCTCCCGATGCCCGCCCACTTCATTCCACATACCGTTCAGGCATCAGCAGCGCTGCTGGGTGTATGCTCGGCTGTTATGCGATTTTGCTGTTATGTGATTTTACCACACTCGCAAAATCGCACACAGCCGACCATACACCCAGTATGATAGCGCAAAATCACGAATCGCGATACCATACTGGGTGTATGGTTGGCTGTGTGCGATTTTGCGAGTGTGGTAAATTCGGGTTACCGTATATTTCTTTACATATGCATTGAAGATTCGCGATTTTGCGCTATCATGGTGCCTGTTAGAATGTTGAAGAGCTCGCACTTGCGCACTAGTGAGGTCCCAGGGAGATGCTGATGCAAGGGTGGACCAGACTGCTATATTGCTAGGGACTTGCCCGGCACTTGCTCTCTACCTCTATTTGTTATCTTACTTCTATCATTGACAGTCCCTCTAGGTTGTGGGCTGCTTGCCTGTGTTCCTGAGAAGCATCTACGGTACCAGTCTATAGAGTGTGTTTTCTTTAGTGAATTACCGGTATGTTTACCAGTAATAAACTTGCACTGTTTTATGTATATGTTTGATTACATACAGCCTTGTGACAGTTTTCCTGCATGTCATAAGCATTTGAATATAAATTAAAATGTTAAAATCAAATCTGATATTGTTTTACCTTTTATTTGGTGTGTGGAAGGTGTGCGGAAGAGGGGGTAGTCTTATACGGCGAGTATATAACAAACTCTGTATTTTGAGTGGAAATGTTAGGGGGTCGTCTTATACGCCCAGTCGTCTTATACGCCGGCAAATACGGTAATTCAGATTGAACACAGCTCTGAAATATGAAAGCTTCTGGGTGTGTACCAGTGAGACAAAAATGTGTTAACTTCGGTTAAACTAGTTTGTTTCTACCACAAGTCAGATATTTAAGAAAGTTAATGCTTTGTTTTTATAGTAACCAAATCATATTTAAGTATTCTATTTGTTGATAAGCGAATCTTAGAATAAAATAAAATTCTAAAAAGGAAACCAACTCATAAAAGAATAATCTACTGCTCAAATGAGAAATTCTAGTCAGTAAACTTTATAGTGAGATGCTAATATAATCTAAATTAGTATAGCTCATTAACATTTAAAGACTAAGTTATTTGTTCAAGACTGAATAATGTTTATTTTAAACTAGAGGCCCGGTGCACAAAAATTTGTGCACTCGGTGGAGGGGGGGTGGTTGTCCCTCAGCCCGGCCTGTGCCCATTTGCAGTCTAGGACCCCTTGGGGGATGTCCACCTGTCAACTTAGGCCCACTCCCCAGGGGATCAGGCCTAAGCTTTCAGTCAGACATCCTTCTGGCAGCCAGGGAGCCCTCAGGGGATGTCTGACTAAAAGCTTAGGCCCCCAAGGGATTGGGTCTAAACTGTTAGTTGGACATTCTTAGTACTGCTATAGAGCCTCTCCCACCACCTCTGTGCTGGCCAGCCATGAGTCAGCTTCTGGCTGAGTGGCACTTCCCATATGGAAGTGCACTGACCACCAGGGGGCAGCTCCTGCATTGAGCATCTGCCCCCTGGTGGCCAGTGTGCATCACAGCAACCGGTCATTCTGCCATTCAGTCAATTTGCATATTAGCCTTTTAATATTATTATATAGGATGTCCCTATTTCCCCCCTTTTGCCCCCTCTACCCAGCTCTTGCCCCCCGTTTCTCTCTGGCCATCACCATACTGATATCTGTGTTCATGGGTTCTGCATATATTTTCTTTGGCTAATCCCTTCTTTAAATTCACTTCTTTACATC